AGACGGCGGCAGGTGCCTGTAATCCCAGCTATTAAGAGAAACTCTCGAACCTGGGAGACGGAGGTTGCAGTGTGCTGAGATCATGCCACTGTACTCCAGCCTGGTTGACAGACACAGACTTCGTCTTAAAAAAAAAAAAGAGTAAAGACCATTCTTAGGCTGTAGGCTGTACAAAAACAAACGACAGGCTGGATTTGGCCCCGGCTGAGGTTGCTGACCCCTGCCCTAAGCTTACCCTGGCTAATATTTGTTTCGTGGCATTCATCACCTTCTAACAGACTGTAATATTTACTTGTTTATTACAGCCCCTTGTTTATTATGTTAACAGTCTAGCACCTCCCTGGAGCTGTCAGCCCTGGCTTCCTAACAGCTCCAGGAAGGCAGGGATGTTGGCTGTCTGGCACATGGCAGGTTTGCGGTGAGGATTTATTCAACGATCAAATACATGGATGAATCCTAATGACTACTGGAGCCTGTACCCATTCTTGCTGCCCAACTAAGTGCTGCATCGTAGAATTCGAGATTGGGAGGAGGAGGTGAGTGTAGAAGCATTTTCTTTTCTTTCTTTCTTTCTTTTTTTTTTTTTTTTTTTTTACAAATCTTATTTTATTCAGATAGCAGTGTGATCACACATGGTCCAACGACACTCAAATAATAAATCAAATATAACCAGATGTTAAAGATTGGTCTTCGGACATCATAGCCAATGATGCCACGCTTGCCTATGATCTCTCTGACATAAAGCCACATCAGCACCTCAGTGGTCACCAAACCATTCAGCGCAGCTCCCTCAACTGTGAGTTGTTTGAAGCTACCAGTCTGAGCACTCTTGACTATTTCTTTCAGGCTCTGAATATCTCTAGGGGTCTCAGCAGGGGTGGGAGGAATCAGCTCAACCTTGGCGTAGTACCGAAATGTGGCCAACTGAGGCTTCGAATAAGTCACAGCAGCGTTCACCAGCACCGGGGTCTTCTCCACAAGGTTACGGATAAATTGGGCCGTGGTTCTGGGATGGAAAGTCCGTCGCCCCAAACAGCCGGCTGAATGCTTGCTTGCTTTCTTCTTCATTATATTTTTATTAAGTACTACATAACACACCGTATCACCTACGGGGGTAGATGACCATAACTGAGTTATTTTTTCATCAATCAGGAAAATGCTTCTTTAAACAATGTTCTCCAAACCCTTTGACACATAGTAAGATCAACTCCAGAGATTCGCCTCTTTCCATCAAATTCCACTGATAGTAAAATGAGCAACCCTTTTATCCTTGCCCCTGTGAATGAGCCTGTGGATGGACTAAGGAGCCAGTCCTGGAATAAGCAAGCACACACCCAGGGTGGCGAGTCCTGGGAGAATCTCAAACCACATCTCTGCCCCGTTTCCTAGGCCAAAACCCTACTTATGGGTCCTGCTATCCTTCCTTCCTTCTTACCTTCCTTCCTTCTTCTCTCTTTCTTTCTTCCTTCCTTCCTTTCTCTTTTTCTTTCTTTCTCTCTCCCTTCCTTCCTTCCTTTCTCTCTCTCTTTTTTCTTTCTTTCTCTTTCTTTCTTTCCCTTTCTTCCTTCCTTCCTTCCTTCCTTCCTTTCTTTCTTTTCTTTTCTTTTCTTTCTTCTCTCTCTCTCTCTCTCTCTTTCTTTCTTTCACCCAGGCTGGGGTGCAATGGCATGATCTTGGCTCACTACAACCTCCATCTTCCTCCAGAACCATTTCCTTTTATCCCAAACTTTGAGCTCCATGATTTCATTCTGACTGTGTATGATGTCACACGTCAGGGGACCTGTGAACCACCAGAGGTGACAGCATGCCTGGGTCACAGCTCACCTCCCGAAAGATGCCACCCTGCTTCAAATTACAGCAGGAAGGAAGAGTGACTCACCCTCTCCAATGGGGTGGCTTCCTGTGACAGACCCAGGACAGCCCACCCAAGGCTTCACCTCGTAATCATGGCCACAGCCAGCTCGCTGGAGACTCACTGTGAGCCATGTGTGATAGCATGGATTCCTCACTGCTTTGCATACTCCCATTTTCTATTACAGAAGAGGAACCTGAGGTTCAGAGAAGTGAGCTCACTTACCTGACGTCCCACTGTCAGTAAGAAGAGCTGAGCCAGGTGCGGTGGCTCATGCCTGTAATCCTAGCACTTTGGGAGACTGAGGTGGGTGGCTCGTCTGAGGTCAGGAGTTTAAGACCAGCCTGGTCAACTTGGTGAAACTCTGTCTCTACTAAATATACAAAAGGTAGTCGGATGCGGTGGTGGACGCCTGTGTTCTCAGACACTCGGGAGGCTGAGGCAAGAGAATCACTTGAACCTGGGAGGTGGAAGTTGCAGTGAGCTGAGATTGCATCACTGCACTCCAGCCTGGGTGACAGAACACGACTCTGTTTCAAAAAAATAAGTAAGCAGAGATTCATTCCCTTGTGCCTCCTTGGCCTTAACCACCAGGCCCCACTGTCTCCAATTCATCCCTTTGCCATCTCGTCCTGGATTTCAGGCCTCAAGTCCTGTGTCATCTCCCAGCATGTGTTTGTTTTTGTCTTTTTTTTTTTTGAGATGGAGTTTCACTCTTGTTGCCCAGGCTGGAGTACAGTGTCATGTTCTCAGCTCACTGCAACTTCCGCCTCCCGGGTTCAAGTGATTCTCCTGCCTCAGCTTCCCGAGTAGCTGGGACTATAGGCGCCTGCTACCACACCTGGCTAATCTGTGTGTTTTTTTAGTAGAGATGGGGTTTCACCATGTTGGCCAGGCTGGTCTCGAATTTCTGACCTCAGATGATCTGCCTGCCTTGGCCTCCTGAAGTGCTGGGATTACAGGCGTGAGCCGCTGCACCCGGCCGTCTGTTGTTAAGACAAGGTCTCACTCTGTGCCCAGGTTGTAGTGCAGTGGCATGATCATAGCTCACTGCAGCCTCGAACTCCTGGACTCAAGTGATCTTCCCACCTCAACCTCCCTAGTAGCTGGGACTACAGGTTCACACCACCACACTCAGGTGAATTTTTAATTTTTTTGTAGAGATAGAGTCTTGCTGTGCTGACCAGGCTGGTCTCAGACTCCTGAGTTGAAGCAATCCACCTGCCTCAGCCTCCCAAAGTGCTGGGATTACAGGCCTGAGCCACCATGCCCAGCCTCCAAGCACAGCTGTGTCATGGGGTGCACGTGACAGTTCCAGAAGATCCGGAATTGAAGTCAGGGACAGACAAAACCCTCAAACAAACATGAGCTCTTGTAAATATTGGCCCAGTGATTTATTTTTGTTTTATTTCATTTTATTTTTTGAGATGGAGTCTCACTCTGTCACCCAGGATAGAGTGCAGTGGCATGATCTTGGCTTGCTGCGAACTCCACTTCCTGGGTTCAAGTGACTCTTCCTGCCTCAGCCTTCCGAGTCGCTGGGATTACAGGCACATGCCACCATGCCTGGCTAATTATTTAAAATTTTTTTTTAGTAGAGACAGTGTTTTACCACGTTGGTCAGGCTGCTCTTGAACTCCTGATCTCAAGTGATCCACCTGCTTCAGCCTCCCAAAGTGCTGGGATGACAGGTGTGAGCCACGTGCCTGGCCCCAACTATTTATTGTACCGTTGTTGGGTACACCATTTTCCACTGGAGTCATGTTGAGGAGTGTTGAAAGATTTTAAAGTCCTACAGACATGTGCTCAGGAGGCTGAGGTGAGAGGATCACTTGATCCCAGGAGGTTGCAGTGAGCTGTGATTGTGCCACTGCACTCCGGCCTGGGCGACAGAGCAAGACCCTGTACCCCAAAAAATATTGCCTTGGCCAAGTGTGGTGGCTCACGCCTGTAAGCCCAGCATTTTAGGAGGCTGAGGTGAGCGGATGAGGAGGTCAGGAGATCGAGACCATTCTGGCCAACATGGTGAAACCCCATCTCTACTAAAAATACATAAATTAGCCTGGCGTGGTGGCCTGCACCTTTAGTCCCAGCTACTCAGGAGGCTGAGGCAGGAGAATTGCTTGAACCTGGGAGGCGGAGGCTGCAGTGAACTGAGATCGTACCACTGCACTCCAGCCTGTGTGACAGAGCAGCAAGACTGTCAAAAAAAAAAAAAAAAAAAATTGCCTTAAAAAATGTCTTATTGGGCTGGGTATAGTGGCTCACACCT